TTTCTATGTGCATATCTTTTGTTATCTGCTTGATGTATATATAGGCTGAAATTAAACTACAGTATTCGATTTCACTATGAACGCACAGAAAGCAGATCGCACTCTGTATCTGTATCTCAAGCACGATGCAACTGTCTGTTCACGACCTTAGAAAGGGCAATAATCTCTTGCACCTAGCACCTTAGCACTTAAGAAGGGACCCCTCTAACTTCCTCTTGAATAACAATTCTTTCATTCTTCTGTCCTTTAGTCAAAAGATTCGAAAATCCGAAGAGTGTAAGCAGTGCTAACAGAAGACCACATGATTTTATTGCTTCCATCTGTTTTATGACTCCAGGGACTGCTAAATTTGTCAAGTGTTACAAACAGAAATGCAGAACAAGTCTGTGAAGAACTGGGAAACAATTTTTGCAATACGCATCAAAATCAAAAGAAAAAAATGAAAATAGAGTATAACTCTTTGTATAAAAATGTTCAAATTTTCCGTTATAATATGAGACACTATGTTCTTTGCTGATACAAAGAAAGTGAATTCCATCCATTTATCATAAAAATTGAGTTGGATATAGCATTTTTAAACACGATGCCTAAACATTGTTTAAATAGCTGATTAATATCAAGGGTGGCCGGTGGTCTAGAGATAAGGTGTATGGTTTAGAAGTTATATGGTCCGAAGACTTGACTACTTTTGTGAAAAATAAAACAATGTAAGAAATTTGTGCATGTAGGAAGCAAGTGATACTATATGAGGAAGGTGATGTTAACAAATTTGTATAGATCTGGTGGTAGGTGGGTAAGACATTGGCGAAGTATTGGGAAGGTACGGGGTTCGAGACCACGGTGTCTTTTTTCAATAGAAATTGAAAAGTGAATAATTAAATGCGATTTTTCTGCAGCTATAAACCAAGTCGTATGATATAAGGAAGATCGCAGTCATTTACTTTATACATGTTCTGGTGGCGTAGAGGTAGGGTACTGAAGTTGTAAACAGAAGGTTCGTGGTTCGAAAACACAAGTATTTTTGTAATGAAATTTTTCTGGAATTATATACCGACACGTAACATAAGAGGAAGATTAAAGCTCAAAAATTTCCGTGGGATCGGTGGCCTATTGGTAAAACACCGGCGTAGTGATGAAGAGTTGGATGGTTCGAAACCAAGTATAGTTTTGTGATTTAGAAAGTAAGTGAATTGATTTTTCTGGAATTATAACCTAAGATGTAGCTTAAGAGGAAGATAAAAGAAAATAAATTTTAGTGGCGCTGGTGGCTAAGGGGTAAGACATCAGTTTAGTATTCAGAGGGTCCCTGGTTCAAAACCAGTAGGATTTTTGTGAAAAATAAAATGGAAAGGAGTTAGAAGATAAGGTAAAGGAGGCGGGAGAGATAGAGGGAAGGACCGGGGAGAGGGAAGATTTTTTTTTGTTGCGGCCGCTCATTAAGACACTCAACCTAAGCGGGTTTTA